CGTTGGTTTGGAACATCCTGTTGAATTTTGTGGTTCTCTGAGTTGCAACATTGTGTGCTCTTCTAACAATTCCTTTAAGGAACTAAGTTCCTTCCAGATTCATCTCACTCCTATAGAGTTACCTGAACTTGTTGAAACATTCCATTTATTTTAATGGACAAGATTCTTAATGAATAAAATTAGGAAATGTTTCCTGATACATTGGACTAATAAAGAAAAAGAAAGACTGTTTTATAGCTTGGATAAGATATGAACAAACGAGTGTACTTGAGTTGTGTGAGAGCTGGAAGGAACACGTTCACAGAGAATGGTAAGGAGCGAAAAGGAAAAGTCCCCAGGGTTAGGTGGGTATTGAAACACCCAGATCCTGATAGATAAAAAGAGCTTTAAGATCAATGGCAAATAGTCGAATTGTTGGCGAGAACATTCTTTTCAATCCAACTACTTTAGACTCAGACGTGTGCAGAGTGGACTGCAAACTGGGGGTAAACCCGCGAGAACGGGCGCGGGCAGAGCTAAGGGAAGGGAGAAGCTGAGTCCACAGAGCGGGTAGTGACAGTGGCTGTCTCATCTCAACAATCGCTTCCCGTCGTGTCCCCAGGCTCTCTTTGGGACGAGAATATGCCAGTTTGTGTCAGCTACATGGACACAAAACAGTGAAAGGTTTTCATTGATGCGGAGTGTAATGTAAATGTGAAATGGACGGTCTCTGGGGAGTTCATTTCGGCTCAGTGGTCGCTCTTCCAAATAGAGTTCTTTACCTCACAGAAAGCAGATTTCTTCGATGACTTTAGGGTGTTAAAGAACAAAAATCCAACCAAGTAGACATGAAGATCGAATGGGCTTTGTTAAGCAAGTCCTGAATTTGGCATCATCCCGTCTAGAAAATAGAGCAGAGCTCCAAGGAATCCTACAAAATGGAAGGTCTTTCTAAGCAGGGGGTGGAACAAGAAGGTTGTTAGCAAATGAAAAGAAAAGATTGTCCCAGGTAAAGTCATCTTGCTTAGGGCTAAGGGCAAGAGGTCTTACTAGCTGAGTACCCACCCTGCGGAACGTGGAGGCCCGGCCGCAGATCACCTCGCTTGTGCTTATCAGGAAGTTCCTGAATAACCAGTTAGGATTGCCACTTTGGGGGGAGGTTGAAATCGCAATTAGTTAGGTAGGTATTAAGCCCCAATTTAGTGACTTGGCCTACCTGATGCCATGGGGAGCCTGTGTTTTTCTTTTTAACGAGGGAAAGAGGGATTGGTACAAGGATATATGTTTCCGAGTGCTTAGAAGAGCTTGAACTGGACCTGGAGAGGGACTTGGCTGGGGAGCCGGGGCGTCCTCTCTCACCTGTCCCGCTCCCAGCCCTGTCGTGCTTTCGTTCTTTCCTTGTCTCCTGGGGCTGCACATTCTCTCCCGTTTATTCTTTGTTTTGTTTTTATTATTTGAAGAGAGTGACACAGGGAGAGAGGGAGCACAAGCAGGGGGAGTGGGAGAGGAGGGAGACCAGGCTTCCCGCTGAGCAGGGAGCCCGATGCTGGGCTTGAACCCGTACCCTGCGATCATGACCTGAGCTGAAGGCAGAGGCTTAAAGACGGAGCCGCCCATTTATTCCAATTTATTCCAAAACCCGCATTTATTCCAATCACCATTGTCTCCCACCTGGCTTTCTTGAGTGGCAGGATAGGAGGTAATAGGGGAATGATTATGCAGCAACGTTTCATTGTTAAAAGTGAAGTTTAAACACACAGCAAAGCTTTGTTCTGGTGTGAATTACAGACTGTGTGTGAGAAAGGAGCACAGAAGAACGTTTAAACACCCGTGCTTTGAAGTCAGACCACAGATTTGAATCCACAGATCATAATCCTCCTTCCTTAACCTGTGAAGTGTGGCCACTGACAGGGAGTGGAGGGGCACCTGGGGGGCTCAGTCCCTAAGGTCTGTGTTTGGCTCAGGTCATGATCCCAGTGTCCTGAGATCAAGCCCCCCCCCCCCACTATGGGGCTCCTAGCTCAGCAGGGAGCCTGGTTCTTCCTCTCTCTCTGCCCCTCCCCCTCCTTGCGTTCCTCCTCTCACTGTCTCTCTGTCAAATAAATAAATAAAATATTAAAAAAAAAAAGGAGTGGAATTTATCACCCCAAAAATATTCTTCTTTGGTATAAGGGTAATTGTAGGCTGTTTTTTTTGTTTGTTTGTTTTTCCAAGTTAGAAAAACAGAACATATTTACTATTTTGTTGACTTGATTTATAACTTTTATTTATTTATTTATTTATTTGAATTTCTTTAATTGCTTATGATGTTACCTTAGTTTCAGGTATACAAGACAATGCTTGGTCATTATGCTCACCACAAGTGTAGCACTTACCATGTGTCACCATACAACACCATTAACTGTCTTCCCTGTGCTGCACCTTTTATCTCTGTGACTTACTCATTCCATGACTGGAAGTCTGTATCTCCTACTTAGGGTGAATATTTCTTGGAAAAATGCCAGATACAGGAAAAGCTTTGAAAATGGACAAGTTGCCTTTTTTTAAGGGACATTTACATTTATAAGAGAAATCTCCCATCTATACAGGGTCTCCCTCTCCCTTCCTCTAGCTGGAATTTATCAGTGGAGAAGGCAATGACTTAAATTCGCAGAGCAACCGCATCCTCAGTTACTGTCTTTTCCCAGTAGCCTCCCATAACTGCTCACCCACACCCCAACATTGTCTTTTGTCTTTAGAGATGTTTAAGGTGGTGGCTTGGGCCACTTCAAGGAGTTACTCAGTTTTCCTAGGTATCTCCCTTGTATACAGTAGGCGTATATGTGATTACACTTGTGTTTGTTTTTTTCCTGTTGATCTTTTTATCACAGAGTGGTCAGCCAAGAACCTAGAAGGGTAGAGGGAAAATTATTTTTTTCTCTCCTACACTATTGCAGGGAAGGAAACATTTAATTGGTCCTTCAAGGTCCTTCTAGCTGGAATAAGAACTAAATTGACACACGATGGATTAATAGGAGAAAATAATACTAATTTTGTATGTATGGGTAATCCATAGGCGTGGAAATTCGAAAGATAGGCCAAAAGAGGTCTATGTGTCATTTGAAATAAGGAGAAGGGCGTAGAGGTCTAGGACATTAAAAGAAAAGAATGCAATTCACTGGAAGATAAAAAAAGAGCAAATGTGTCTACCATGCCTAGTTCAAGTTGTATTGTAGTTATCTCTAGCAACAGCTCTATTCCTGGAGCAAGTATTCTATCTAAATTCTTTTAGGCAAGGGGCACCTGGGTGGCTCAGTGGGTTAAAGCCTCTGCCTTTGGCTTAAGTTATGATCCCAGGGTCCTGGGATCGAGCCTCGCATCCGGCTCTCTGCTCAGCAGGGGGCCTGCTTCCCCTCCCCCCCCCCGCCTCTTTGTGATCTCTCTCTGTCAAATAAATAAACAAAATCTTTAAAAATAAATACATAAATTATTTTAGGTGATTGTGGGGGAAGTAAATAAACTTTTCTGAATCTGCTGGGTTTTGATTGCCTTTTTTTTTTAAGATTTTATTTATTTATTTGACAGAGAGAGATCACAAGTAGGCAGAGGGGAAGGCAGAGAGAAAGGGGGGAAGCAGTTTCCCCACGGAGAGCCCAATGTGGGGCTTAATCCTAGGACCCTGAGATCATGACCTGAGCTGAAGGCAGAGGTCCAATCCACTGAGCCACCGAGGGGCCCTGTTTTGATTGCTTTTAATGAAAAAGTAAACTTCATGCCAAAGTGGGCCATCTTGGGGTGGCCTGCCCTGGGCACCTACATCATAAAGAGAAGACCTTCTTCATAAGCTAGTTGTGAGAATTAAATGTGGTGATTTATGAGCTAGACACCTAATAGTTATTCAATAAATATTAAAAACACAGAAGAAAAGTTACCCCTTAACCGGAGATCAAAGGAATGAATCAAAAAAAGTCGAAGGCATAAAGACAGTCTGAAATGGAGAAAACAAGAAACTGGTGGATTTTCTGATCAAATGACCTAAGGTTTCAGGGCATAGTGGATTCTGATGTCTTGGGAAAGCTCTAGTGATCTTAGTCTGATATGACCGTAATTCCACTGGGAAAATCCCAAAGGTTAGTCTCCACGACAGCAGCCCACAGCAGAGCAACGGGGAAGAGTTAAGTACTTACAAATCATGTAAAATGTTAATATCGTCATCATCATACAATAAACAGTAACAAACACAATAGTTAACATTTATCGAAGGTTTGCTATGTGTGGGAGCGTATTTCAAGTACTTTATATGTGCTCTATGTACATATACATTTATACGTATTAATACATTTACTCTTATATCAAACCTGGGAACTTTTATTATCATTATTTTAGGGAAAAAGAAACAGAGGCACAAGAGAGTTTAATTAATTGACCAAAGTTGCAACACCAGCAACTAGCTGAGCTGCGGGGCTCACGGCCCCGTGTGCTGCAGCAGAAAAGGCGACATGGTCCCTCTCTAATCATAGGAAACTTGAGTAGCCCCAGATTTTTGGACAAGTATACTGATATCATGGATAAAATAATGTGAGGAAAAAACAAACTGCAAAAAAGTTCATTTTATTAAGTAACAATGTAATACTACATATAGACTGCTTTAAAAATACATAACTCTGGGGGGGAAAAGTGCTTTGTTTTTTCAACTGATACAAAAGGAATCCTAGAAAGGAGAAGAAAGGGTTATTTAAGAACAGTAATCGTGAATTCTTAGTGTAAGCTGTTTCCTTTGTTTCGTCCATAAAAGAAAAGCCTTTCAAAGAGTTTGGCAAAATTAGCTTAAATACTGTTGCAGTGACCTAAACAGGAAGCCTGGGTCGTCCCAACCACCCGCGATCTCTGAAGCCAGCCCCGAGGCTCCCTCTCTGCTCCAATAGACAGGAGCGACTTTGGGCTGTGGGATCCTCAACTCCTTCCTCGCCTCTGCTGCTGGCAGGATCAGATTACATCTCACACTCTCCTGCACTCCCCAGTTTCTTGATCTGTTTAAAAGAAGACTAGAAAAGATAAGGCCTCTCTTCACTGCCTGGAAGGGAAAACAAAATACCCTCAACTCCGCGTTGAAAAAAATCTTTCTAAGAACTTTCTTCAGAGATTTTACTCGTGAGTATTTGGCAATATACTTTCTAGCCCTTGAGAAATAATCTTTCTTGTTCTTGGGAGAAGAGCCGGGTCCTTCTGAGAGGCAGAGCCTGGTAGGGGAGGACCATTGTCGTTTAACCCGCAAGGGAAATTGACCCTTCTGTAAACAAAGTAAACTCACAAAATTCAGCTCTCTGCACTTTGGCTTCCTAAGGAAATGTATGTGCAGCATATCTTTATGTTTTTTCTTTCAGAAGTTGGTGAGATGTAGCCTTTCTTATAATTTTCCACTTGTAGTGGCAGTTCTTACTAATTGTGTGTTTAATTAGAATTTTCCGAATATTTGGTTTACTTTTAAATATTATTTATTAACATACAAAGAAATATGATAATGAGACTCTCTGCCATGTTTGAAGAATTTTTTTCATTCCTTTTAATTGTTGACAGTTAAAATGAAGTATAAACATTAGAATTCTTGTAATCTAAATTAAATATTTTATGCCTACAGTAACTAAGCCTCTCCGAGGAAATGCTTTACAAGTCTTTAAAGACCAAAGCTCGTATTCTAAGATACTTAAATAAGAATATATAAGGATAAAAATTGCACTACAGATAGTGTAATTATGTTAATTAGAGCAATAGATCTACATAGACCTCCATGATGTACTATCATGTTCGTGATGGTTATGAAAAGACATTAGTAAATAAAAGCACATAATATAGAAGCACACCACCACAGAACTACAAGTTATTTAATGATGGAAAGCTCATTTATGTAACTATTACCAAAAAATGAAGGCCAAGAGCAGAGCCATGTAGGAAAAACAGAAAAGATAAGCAACAGCCACACTGAGTCACAGTGCTCTGGAAATTAGTCACAAATGACTTTGTAAATTGTGTGATAAACAAAAAGGGCAGAACCCAAGCAGGAAACATACAGCCCAGAGAGCCATATTTTATGTGTAAAGGCCTAATATTTATGTCAGAAGGGAAACATGTCAATTTTGAGATATTGCAAAGTTTTTAAACCTAACACAATCCTTTCCTAAAACATTTTTAGATACTTGTAATTCATCATTCTAGTGATGATTATTTGATGACATACTATCTGTATCTCATCTAATCTTTAAGCTAAAAAGTGAATAATGTCTTTGGAAATATGTTGGAGTATGAAATTTGATTCAGAGGCTGTGGGTTAATAAAATGATATTAAATACTCAGAGATCAACGGAGATTACATTAATTACAGATTAATTACAGATAATTACAGTTAATTACAGATAATTAACATTATAGACTTAAAACCAAAACTTTAAAATACTTTAAAATTTGAATAGTTACACTGGGAAACCAAATTTGTCTTTAGGTGACCGTACATAGAATCTTGCTGGAGAACTTTAATGACATACTCATTACCATTTGGTTCCTCTTTCTATTAGGGGTGCTGAATGGCACAAATTTTGTTTTGTTTTTTTAAAGGTATAGTCTGATATCTTTAAGAATTTGTTTCACCTCCAATGACTGGATCAAAATCCCTCTGGGAAACATGGCTCCTGTCCAGATGAGTTACACGCTCAGTACTTACTGGTCTGACGGCTTGTCTGTCACCCAAGGCTGCACTTATGCGTGGTCGCACAACTATTTTGAGTAGAAGCTTCTCTAATAAACATTTTTGCTAAATTGAAAGATAATTTATGAAGTGGAAAATTATTTTGTGTTAAATTGTAGTTTTCATAACATTAATTTACTCTTTTCTTCAGAATTAATTCCCGGATCTTGGTTATCTGTATTACTCAAATTCAAAAGATAACTGGACAAGATGAGTAACTACTGGAAGAAAAGGCCAAGTTCAAAAGGCTTTACTTATTCCCAGAATACATAACAGCTAACCAAATAGCCAATGTGCTATATATTCTTTAGAAATGGTTGGTTTAAATTCAGTGTCTGGAATTTTTAAGACAGATTGCACCTCATATCACCACGTAATTAGCAGAAAAAAAAAAAAAGCAAAGTAAAAAAGTAAAGGGCAGGAAAGACAATATGAAAAGGGAAAGGAAGTACTTAGAATAGGGTTTTCAAAATATTTGTTAGTATACATTAGATAAGTTGAATAATAATAATATTGGTTAAAATAAGTTAATTGTATTACCAATTTATTTTTGGTATGAGATGTGATCGAGGAACTGTAGTATAATTTAACTCACCTATTTCAATAAAGGCTGTCTCCAACCCCCTCCCTTTTCTGTTTTCCATCTAAAATATTTAACTTGGGAAATTAATTTATAGAGTTGCCTTTTTCAAAACAAATATTCTTAAATGCATTAGTTGTTATAGAAATATATCATTACTATAATTCCTTTTGATTGTTTTGTGGTTTGGAGAAATCTGAATTCAAGAAATTGAGTAACTTGGGCGCCTGGGTGGCTCAGTTGGTTAAGCAACTGCCTTCGGCTCAGGTCATGATCTTGGAGTCACAGGATTGAGTCCCACATCCTGCTCCCTGCTTGGTGGGGGTTCTGCTTCTCCCTCTGACCCTCCCCTCTCATGCTCTCTCTCTCTCCAATAAATAAATAAAATCTTAAAAAATATAAAAAGAAATTGAGTGACTAATGAAGTCCTCGTTTCTGAATATTAAATCTAACCAAAACGAAGAAAGGGTACAAGTTATTCCAGAAAATTCTTTCATGCTAGACCATCTCTCTTGGGTCTGTGAGATCCTCAGTAACTGGTTTCTTGGTGGGATATGCCATTTCCAGGATCCCAGTCTTCCCATTACTCTTCTTTCCTTGTTTCCACTTCTTCTCCAAGTGCTAGGTGTAGAACAAGAGCTTAGACTCAACTACCAAGGTGCGCCTGGGTGGCTCAGTCTGTTAGGTGGCTGCTTTTAGCTCAGGTCATGGTGTCAGGGTCCTGCGATTGAGCCCCGTTTTCCACATTCTGCTCAGTCAGCAGTGAGTCCACTCCTCCCTCTTCCTCTGTTCTCTCTCTCTCAAATAAATAGATAAAATCTTTGGGGAAAAAAAAGATTCAACTAACAAAAGGTTGAGGGTGACCTAGTCTCTTCCACATTTCTTCTTCCCAGAACCAATAGCCAAAAGCTCTGGACCCATGTCAAATCTGCTCTATTCAGCTCTCTTCAGGACTTCCCTTGGGATTTTATGTTCTCTCTCGGTTGGAATAAACACGTTTTAATTTTATTTTAAAAATAAAAGAGTAAAAGGACACCATGGTCCGCAGTGGAAGTCCCAGTGATGCAATATTTCTATCCCAGTTGTTCCATCTGGTGGGTGAGTTTCCTGAGGTGACATGGACTTATTGGAAGGTATTCCCAAATCAAAGTGTACTGGTAGCGTTCTCTCCAGACTGAGTAGATATTATATTGTTGATTAGGCTATTTCAACATCAGAAGTGTGAAAGTATCAATCCCTATGGCCCTAATAAAATGTAGGGTTTTTATCACCAAACATAATATGCCACGGATCCCTTCAGCTGTATCACACCCTCAGCACCACCACACTCTGCCGTCAGTCTATTTCTGTGTCTAACTGTCCTTGAACCCCATAATGACCCATCTGGAGGGATCCCCTCATTCCTCGTTCCACAAGGCTTAGAAATGGAGTAAATCTTAGTAATGGGTTGAGTCTTCAGAAAAATAGTGTTTGTTGCAAATTTTGATAATATTTTTAGGGTTCATTTAGGAAACTATAGTATCTTAGGAAATGAATCAAAACAACTATACCAAAATTTCATATGCCTACTCTTGCTTATTTTTGTGCCAACTATTTTCAAATATACATGAAAACAAAATGAATGAATTTCTGATTCATGCTATATGAATGAACCCTGAAAACGTCTGCTAAGTGAAATAAACCAGACACAGAAGAACATAATTCCATGTGTCTATCCAGAATAGACAAGTTCACACAGCCAGAGAGTATACTGGAGGTTGCCAGCATGCAGAGGAAGGGGTGAATGGTGAGTTATTGCTTAATGCATACAGAGTTCTGGTTGGGGCGACAAGAGATTTCAGAAGTAGATAGTGGTGATGATTGTACAGCATTGTGAATGGAATTAATGCTACTGCACTGTACACTTAAAATAGTTACAACCGCATATTTTATGGTGTATCTACTACAATAGAAAATACTAAAAGAAAACTGTTAATAAGAATTCAGTTTGAAGAATTCTAGATTCCTAATTACATTCCCTTTACATTTTCTCAAATAATAGAACAAAAGTACAAATACTACGGTGTTGTATACCTGAATTTTTAAAAATCAAAGCAGATTCTTCCTATTTTGTTTCCTGATGAAAACAGGAACTTATTTTTACCTAATATTGCTGTACTGGAGGCTGGTTTTTTTGTCATATGTTTTTTTTGGTTTTGGTACCAGAGTAATTTGGGCCTCACAGATTGGATTGGCAAGTATACCCTCCCTTCTGTTAAATTTTCTGGAGTAGTTGATGTAAAATTCATATTATTTCTTTAAATGATTGGTGCAATCCACCAGTGAAACCATCTGGGACTGAAGTTTTCTTTGTAGAAAGGTTTATAATTACAAAATTTGATTTTTAAAAAATAATTATAGGGATATTCAAGTCATCTATTTCTTCTTCAGTCAGCTTTGGTAGTTGGTGTCTTTTGAGAAATTGGTGCTTTTATCTAAGTTGTCAAATTTATAGGCATAAATTTGTTTATAATATTAACTTATACTAGAATCGATAATGATGTGAAACCTCTACTTCTTGACATGAGTAATTTGTACCTTCTCTATTCTTTTATCAGTCTATATCAAGAACTTTTACCTTCTGTGTTCGTATATAAGATGGGCTTTTTGGCAACATATAGTTTGGTCTTGATGTTCTATTCAGTCAGTCAAAATTTGCCTTTATTTAATTTTTGAAGATTTTATTTATTTGAGAAAGTGGTGTGTGTGTGTGTGTGTGTGTGTGTGTGTGTGCACGCACGCGCCCCTGCTTTAGCAGGGGAAGGGGCAGAGGGAGAGAGAAAGAGAGAGAAG